TTTTGGCTGCCCTAGTTCTGGAGGAAGGTCTTAGTTCCCTATTCCCTGTGTCTCTGGAGGGGACAGAAGAGATGTGATGGCCTTGGGAGGGTTGGGTCACCCTGGCCCTGGCTTGCTGGCAGCCGTGGGGTGGGTTGGAGGTGAGATGCTCCGGTGCATGGTTGACCTTGCAAAGCAGGAGGGGAGCAGCGACATGGCCCGTGCTGGAGCAAATGCTGGGGAAATGAGTAGCCTGGAGGAAAGCCGGGACTGCAAACTGTGGAGGTTTAACTCAGCCTCAGAGATGTGAGCTCTGAGCTAACAGAGAAGGGGCTTTCTAGGAATGTGAGGTATATCTGAAGTATTTAATCCACAGGAAAAGATGGAGGATTTTTGTTCAGTGTAATATTTCCTCTCCAACTCTGTGATAGGTCTGCTGAGTTCTCCTAATTCTTTCAAAATAAGATTCCAAAGCTTTAATGGAAAGGTTTATCGGTTTCTGTGCAGAGGATGGATGAATATTTCCTAGAGCCACTTTCTGGTGTAATGCCAGCTTTTCTTGTCTACTGTCTTAACAGTCCTGGTTTTGTTGTAGCTCCTCAGCAAATGTTTGGTGGGATCTAGCGATGTATGAGAGAGAGGGTGAAAGGAACCATAGGAATAAGCTTTCACAAATCCATGTTTGCTTTGTTTTGGCCAGGAGGGATTCTCTGCTCTTGCGTCGTGAAAGGAATATGTGAGGTGTTGGGTGCTCAGAGGCCACACAAGTGAGTTGGCCAAACTCTGCGGGCAGCAGAGCCTGGGGGAAAAGTAGGGCCAGAAATTGCTGGTTGATGGGAGCGGGGTTCGAGTGAATGGTGCTGGAGGGGGGTGCTTAGGACCAAGCCCTGATGCATCAGCGGGAACGACGGTGGCAGGAGCAGGCAGTAAAGCCGAGGCAGACGGGGCTGAGTTCTGACTTCATTTGTCTCCAAAAAGCACCTTCTGAGTCATTGCTCGGAAGCGAGATCTGACAACCCCCCGGCAGCCACGGGCATGCAGAGACATCCCTCCTGTAACTTGTGGATTCCAATCCTGGATTCAGCATCTTGAGCGAGAGATCCCGAAGCCTGTCCTACCCATCCTGGGTAATAAATGCTCAACAGATGTAGCCAGGACCAGTTGCTCCCAGACGCGCAGCAGGAAGAGAAGCGAAGCGAAGCTCTGGGAACAGGTGGTTTAGCACATGGAAGTTATTTCTAGAGCTGCCTTGCGTTGTCCTGCCGCATCCCAGCTTTGCTGAGGGCTGGCACGAACATGAGTGGTGGACAGGCTGATGCTCAGGGCTGCTCTGCGATGCCCAGGGCTGGGGCTGGTCATGGGGCTGGTCCGTGCAGACCTCACAGTGGAGCGTTGGGTGGAAGCTAAATGAGATGGGATGATGAGCAAAGTCCTCTCAGCTGTGGCTAGGAGGGAAACGGGTGTGCTGGGAAGATGAGCATGGCTGTTTCTGCAGAGTTATTAGTCCTATTGCCAAACCAGGCTGTGAATTACCCATTTTAGCCAACCTCAGCTTCAGGGCCAGGATCAGGAGACAAACGCTCCTGCTGAGCACAGAGTGCCCCTTTTCCAGAGCACCTGGAGGGCTGGGAGATCCCACTGTGATCTCGTGCTGTTGCTTGTGCAGGACTGTAAATCTGTGATAACGGGCCATCCCCGCAAGTTTCTACATCCCAGCTGAGCTAAGAATAGTCAGGAAGCGAAACAAGCCGAACATTGGGTTGTTTTCCCGTGCCCTGAGCAAACACAGCACCTGGTGAGGGGAGCTGCGTGTCCCGGACATGGCTCCTGACAGCAGTTATCGGTGTTGCATGAAACTGTGGCTAATCTCCTGCCTCCTATTTGGGGCAAGCTGCGATCCTGGGCTGGGAGGCGAGCAGGAGCCTTATCTCTGTGGTGATAAGGCTGTCACAGCCTGGCTGGGGACAGCTCGAAGCTCCAAGAGCTTTGGAGAGACGCAGCATCTCTGTGCCCCCGTCTCGGGCGCTGGAGGACAGGCTGTGCTTGTCCTTATCTCAGCTCCTAACCCTCGCTTTTTCCAATCTGCCTTGAATTCCGCCAGATAACCAGGCATGTCGGACGCTGAAGAGGTTGTTGAAGAATACGAGCAGTGAGTGGCGTGTTTTCAAACACCCTTTCTTTCTCCTCATTCCTGCCTTCCCGCAGGGTTGCAGCATTTCTTAGGGATGTTGTTTGGGGGACACTGGCTCTCATCATTACCCCAGCACTCATCAATTCCCCTACCCTGTGCCCACCAGTGCCACTATTGTGACAGTGCCGGGACCCCCAGCAGCCGGGGATTCTGCATTAGGAGCTGTATCACAGTGTTCAAATTGCTGCAGTCCAAATCAGAGAGGTAGAGCTGGGAAAAGCTGACCTCACCAGTCTGCTCCTGTTGCTGGGGTCCTCCTGCCACAGCAAAGCTCCCCGAGGTCCAAATTTGAGGGCAGCTTTTGCTGTGTGATGGCTGCTGGACCACGAGGTGCACACCAGAGAGGAGGGGCTCGGTGTCTGAGGTATGTGGGTCTGGGCATCAGTCCAAACACAGCTCCTGCTTCTCATCCAGCAGCAGAAAATGCAGATCTCAATCCTTCTCTTACATTTAAATGCCATGACAAGAGTTGCACGTCCCAGCAATCAGTCTGACCCTGTGCCCAGCGTCCCTTGGATACACCCAAGGATGGACTGTGCCTCTACCCCAAGATCAGAAAAGGACTTTGGGGCAAAGGTGTGAGGTGAGAGACCCATTTCTAGGATTACAGACCATGGTGGCTCCATCCTCCCAAGCTGCAAAACAGCATTGTGCTTTGGCCACTGCCAAGGTGTCAGCTGAGCACTCCAGCTCCTGCAACTCACAGCCTGCCTGGGTCTTGTCCTGTCCCCTCTGCCACCTCACAGCATGCCACACAGTAGCCCTCGAACAGTCCTATGAAAAAGGGGAGACAGCCTTGAACAAACTTCAAATTCCCCTTTGGCCTCACTGATGGACACACGTGCCCCGGCGCGGTGGATCTCTGTAACGCTGTGAATTTCTGTTGTGCTTTGCAGGGAGCAAGAAGGTAAGAGGACGTGGAGCGTCTGCGTCTGCCCCAAGGCTGAAGCTAAGAAATAGTCAGAGCAGCTTCAATAACCTGCGTCTTTTTCCCTTTCCTCTCTCCTGCCTGCGCGTGTGCTCTCTGAAGAGGAGTACGTGGAAGAAGGTACATGCTTGGTGGGCTGTGGCAAGGGACCGAGAGACAAGTGCTGTTGGTTCATTGTTTTGCTTGAGTGGGTTGTAGTGGTGAGCTCCATGACTGCAAAGGGCAAATCATGACCATGTTCTAGATTTCTTCATCTGATCCAACCCAGCCTGACTTTCCTTGGGATCTTTTTTGTCAGAGCGATCCCTTGACTCAAAATATGGGTGGAAATGCTGGACTTAGACGTGGCAGAAGTGTGAGCCCAGTAACTCTAGAGCTGGAGCCTGAGCTGAACGTGTATTAGTGATGCTCAAGCACAAACCTCCAACTGCCTCAGTCCGATGAAGAAGCAAACCCCACGGTGTGCGCAGCCGCTCCGGGACACGGCTGGGCTGGGTGTTTGGGGCTGGGTTGGGGAGCTGAGTGTTGCTGAGCCTCCTGCTGCTTCAGGGCACTGCCAGGCAGCCCAGGCTGTTGCCCAGCAAAACATCCTGAAGGTTATAAAACAAAAAGAGGTACAGAAGGAAAAGCACTCAGTGCTAGAGTAGTTGTCTCATGCACACCAGAGCTACGACCTGCAGCTCTATGGCGCCCAACTAACCTCTGCACTTATTCCTTTCCCTCCTCCCTGGCTCAGAAGAGGAAGAATGGATAGAGGAAGAAGACGGTAGTTATTGCACCTTTCTTTATTTCGTCTCTTCACTGCTGCTGTGAATATGTTGTGGGTCGGTGTGTCTTTTTCCTCTCCTTGGTTGGGAAATGGTTTTCTTTCATTCTTCCACTTCTCTCTCTTGCTTCTTGCACTCCCCCCTTCCTGCCCTGCTGTGCTGTGTGTCTCTGCTGCCGCGTCTGCGGCTTCTCTCTTGCATCTATCAACCAGACGCACTCGGGGTTGGCTATCTTCTTTCTCTTTCCTTCTCTCTCGCTGTGGGACCACAAGTCTTCCCAGGACCTGAGCGTCCCAGCATCGCTCTGGCTCCAGTGGAGGACTTGTGGGGCTACTGCTCCCTCCAGTGGAAAAATGCTCCAACAGTGTCGGAAATACGGTTGTGAAGGTGCCGAAGGCACGTTCTCTAATGCCAGCCAGTCGTCTTTATCGCTGGTTAGAGGAGAGCGATAGAATCATAGAAACATCAAGTTTGGAAAGGACCTTAAGATCATTAAGTCCAACCTACAGCCCTATTGCTCCCCCCATCCCTGTGCTTAAGAGCACAACAGCATGAGAGGGGGTGAGGGACAAACCAGGAGGTGGCTGTAAATCCTTCATCTTTACTTTTTCAGCCTGCCTAATGCAGAGGACAGCCCTTGGGTAAAGTTTAGAGTGAAGCCCTTTGCTTTTCGAGACACTGCTTCTTCCTCCAGCAGCTGCGTCTCCCCAGGTCTCTCTCTCCTGGCACCGGGGACCGAGGGGGCCACGGCCGTGGGACTGACACTGCCCCTTATTCCACAGGTCAGGAAGAACAGGTAGAGGAGGCGGAGGAGGAGACCGCAGAAACCAAGGCAGAAGGTGCGTGGTGGCTTTGCAAGCGAGCTCCTGTGGCTCGGTGGGAGCCCTGTTCTGCTTGGTGGGTGCCAAGCAGGGCCTGGGGTGTCCCAGCACAGACAGCAACAGGGGGCCAATGGCACAGAGGGGCAGCTGTACCTACAGTTTCCAGCAAGGAGATGTCAAAACAGAGCTGCTCTTTCTTGCTCTACCAAGTGCCATGGTCCTGCAATCACGAGGATAACAGTGTTTTCTGCTGGCTGCTGATCAAAGAGATTGTGTCCAGCACTCTGAAACAATGCCAAAAATGAGTTAAATCTCTTTCACCAAGAGGTCTCCATAGCCTTGGAGGGGTGATTCCCAGAGCTGGGGTTGTGTTCTGATGTGTCTCACCATCCAAAGAGCACTGGACTTCATGAGACCTCGTCGGAGCAGATGGTTGCCTGATGTGCGTCCCCAGGCTGAGATCTCAGCCGTGCTCCAAATTAGGGTGCTGGGACTCCTCAGTGCTCAGGGGACATGGCTGCCCCCAGCCACAGGTGCTCATATTCTCCCCATTGCTTTTCAAACAGAAGAAGAAGATGAAACAAAAGCACCAGGAGAAGGTAAAGCAGGAGCGAAGGAGAGACGATTTTGGCCATTTCAGTCCTGATCCGCCAAGACACTGGTCCCTTGTAAAGAACTTTTGGTGTTGAATTAATTTGCTGCTGAAGAGAGAGAATCTGCAGTAAATGGTACAGAGCTGCCCAGGTCCCATCCTCTGCCAGCAGCAGGGATGGCTTTGTGATGTCCAGCTAAGACAAATACTGAAGGGGAGGGTAGCACCCCTGCTCTCCCAGCCTGAGTTCTTACAAAGCTTCTCCAAGTTCCTCTTGGGGAGGACCTTGGGTTCTCCTGGTCTGTCAGTGGGCGAGGGATGTCTGTGAGCAACCTGCTGTGTCCCCATTCATCCTGGAGGGATGGAGCTGGGTTTGTGGTGGGGATAAGCTTGGTGCAGAGGGGAAAAGCATGTCTGAACAACCTCACTCTGTCCATGGGGAGGGTGCACAGCTGAGCTGGCCACCAGGAGCCAGAGCATCCTGTTTTCCACAGGTGGAGAGGGGGACCGAGAGCAGGAGCCTGGGGAAGGTGAAGTATCCATCCTCATTCCTCTCTGGGGTGGGAGGGACTGTCCCTTCATCTGTGTAAGGAGGTACCAAGGGCTTTTCTGCTCATCCAGGAGCATGTCCGTGTGTCCTGGGTTTTGGCACACAGCGGGACACCTCACTGCCTGTGCCTCTTTGCTGGAGGATGAGCCACAGCACAGCCCGTGCTGCTGAGGGAGAGGGGGAGCTCAGCTCAGTGCTGTGGGGTTTGCATCAAGGGGTGAAAGCAAATGCCGCTGTGACACTAACACTGCCTTTCTTTCCTGCTCCTGGGGACCTGCAGGTGAATCGAAGCCAAAACCCAAGTAAGTGTTGGTGCATTTTCTCTGGTGCAAGGTCTGACCTCAGAGCAGATACTCTGTGTGATGGGCTTAACACCATGATCCATAAAGGACATGGGACAATGAGGCCTCAAAAGCATGAAAGAGGGGATATGGAAAGAAAAAGAGAGAGAAACAGGCAGATAAGCACAGAATATGAGGAGGATCCTGAGAATGAGGTCTTGAAGCATTTTGTCTGTTCCTTGGAGAAGGCCCTGTGGACCTGCAGCTGGAAAAAAAGTCTGTGTGCACCCTACCCAGGGGTACAGAGCCCATGGCACAGCCAGGGTCTTGTCTCTGCACTGTGTCCTGGCCATGGCTAGCATGAGGCAAGCATCTGCATGAATGCCAGCAACCCAGGGACAGGAGCACCTGCCTGAAAGAGCAGGGCTGTGAACCATGGCCAGGAACCTGCGGATCCTTGTGGACCCATGGGATGCTGCAGCGTGGGAGGCAGAGCTGTCCTCAGCTGCCATGTCGTCACCCCTTTGTGTCTTTATGGGCCCCTGCTGAGCGTCTCCTGCTCTCCCTCAAGCCCACAGAGGATGAGAGGATGGTTTCCAGCTCCTTTGTGCTCTTTTAGGTGAGCAACTGGGTGGCTGCCAGCCCCAGGGTGCCTGGCAAAAGGTCGTGGCCAAGTTGCCTGGAGCTTGCAGAGTTATTCCAGCCATGTGGATGCCTTGGAGCACTTCCCAGGAATGCTAGAGGTCTTCCTCTGAGGCTGTCCAGCTGGCAACTTCCAGCAAGCAGCATGACACTTCCCTGTCCTCAAAATGTGCTCACTCTGCATCCCTGGGGACTGCGAGGCTCGGAGGTGGTGGATCAGTGCATGGATGAAAGGCACAATCCTGTCCCAGGTGTCTGCTGCAGACTCACCATCCTCCTCCTCACCTTCGGTTGCAGGGTCTTCATGCCAAACCTGGTGCCTCCCAAAATCCCCGATGGTGAGAGACTGGATTTTGATGTAAGTACACTTGGTGTCACCCCGAGAGATGATCCCCTCAGATCGCTCCTCCATGCTGTGCCCAGTAGCTCTGCAGCTCCTGGAGGGCTTCACTCATGGGAGCGTAACCGTCACTGCTGTCCCTCTCTGGTGCAGGACATCCACCGCAAGCGCATGGAGAAGGACCTGAATGAACTACAGGCCCTCATTGAAGCCCACTTTGAGAGCAGGAAGAAGGAGGAAGAGGAGCTCATGTCCCTCAAGGACAGGATTGTACGTCTGTAGCCTTCCCGCTCGGTCGCTGTTGCCACTCTCTCCCGCATGGACAGACATCCATGGTCTTTTCCTGACAGCAAGACCTGAGACATCCAATGTCCCTGGAAGACAGAGCCTGAGATTCGAACTAGATTTTGCACCCCTGTGCCTGGGAAGCCCCTGGTCTGGCTGCTGTGAGGCTGCAGTCCCTAACGGAGATGCACCTTCCCCCATGGTCACCAGTCCACACGCTCCCTTGGGAGTCATGGGAGCAGCAGATCTGCCTTTTGGGGTGTCTCAGGGCTTTTGGGGTCAGGGATGTGTCCTTAGAGACAGAGAGGATGAAGACTCCCCAGGGTGTCCAAGTCAACGTCCTCTCCTTGTGCAGGAACAGCGGCGAGCGGAGAGGGCAGAGCAGCAGCGGATTCGCAGTGAGAGGGAGAAGGAGCGCCAAGCCCGCATGGCCGTGAGTCTTCCTCCGGGAACAGGGTGGTCTTGGGGTGCACATGGGAGTATGAGCTGTGTGTTGCGTGCAAGCCAGTCCATGAGTCTTCATCTGTCTGCTTCTGGCCCTGGCAGGAAGAAAGAGCTCGCAAAGAGGAAGAGGAGGCACGGAAGAGGGCTGAGGAGGAAGCGCGGAAGAAGAAGGCTTTGTCTAACATGCTGCATTTCGGAGGCTACATGCAAAAGGTGTGATTCTACCCCAGGTGGTTGCAATGGAGCTGCTGGTGCTCCTGGGAAGGACTCAGTCATGGGCTGGTCTCCCAGCACTGTGCATGTTCTCAGTGCTGGTAGACTGGTTTCTACAAACAGAAGAAGACCGGACACCATTGCTGGGTCACAGCAGCGGTCGGAGGGCCAAAGTGAGCTGCAGATGCTGGCCAGGGTGGGTCCAGTCCTGTCTCAGGGATGGAGGGAAGCAGTGGGGTTTTGCCCACTATTGCCAAAATTTCCTTGAGGACCTCACGTGCTTCTGGAGTCCCAAAAGCAGAAGGTGTTGGGGGCAGAGCTGGCGTTACGGGTAGAGCAAAAGCTGGGCAGATTTCCTTCCCTCCAATGGCCTGGTGGTTTCCTCAGTCAGAGAAAAAGGGTGGGAAGAAACAAACAGAGCGGGAAAAGAAGAAGAAGATCCTCAGCGAACGACGGAAGCCCCTGAACATTGACCACCTCAATGAAGACAAGCTGAGGTGAGCGTGGGCTGCAGGAGGGATGTTCAGGACAGGGGTTCTGCTTTGGGGTCCCACCTCTCGGGGCACGATCCCGGGCTGAGGCAGGTTGCCTGGAGCTTGCAGCCCAGACAAGAGGGTGATGGCACAGCTGAGAGGAGAGCTATGACACCCCCGCGTCTGCTGCCGGCAGCTCCGGCCATCAGAGGGAGCCACGCTCACACGGGTGGGACTTGCAAGTCCCCAGAGTCCTCACCTCACCCGGGGCTCTGATCCAGTGTGGGATTGGGATCACCACCCGGTTAGCACATCCTCATCTGGGCATGGAGCTGCACAGACCCATCCTGGGGGAGCAGGCGAGCTGGTGGCATCCCTGCCCTGTCCCCTGCAGTGAGCTCCTCGTGAGCCACATCCCTGACCTGCACTGACACCAGCCAGCTCTTCCAACAGGGACAAGGCCAAGGAGCTGTGGCAAACCATCCGTGACCTGGAGGCTGAGAAATTTGACCTGCAGGAAAAGTTCAAGCGGCAGAAATACGAGGTGAGCCGCCAGGTCCTTCGTGAGCTTGTTTGTCCTCCATGTGCCTGGCTGCTCCTTCTGTTCCCCATCTGGGAGATGAAGTGGGTTGTCTTGGTTGGGTTGTCTTGGTTGGGTTGTCTGACTGAGGGTGCTGTCCCAGGAAAGCTGGCTGCGTCAGAAGAGGACTGTGTCCCCCTTTTCATGGGGTAACAAACACCATCTGAAAGCAGAGCCACGTCTGCTCCCTCCTGGAGAGGTGTCAGGATCAAACCAACCCTCCCAGCAGTTGCCAGCCACCCCGGCAAGGCTGAGCACACATCTAAGAGATGCTGGTGGATGTGGCAGTTGTGGGGAGGGACGTGTAGTGACCCTGTGACCCCCCAGCTCCTGGGGATGTGTGCTTTACACCACAACAGACTTCCTGCCGTGCTAGCCCCCACACTGCTGGGGAAGAGTGAGCAGTGATGCATCTTAGCCCTTTTTTTTTTGTAGGGCACCTGCCAGGTCTCACCACCCGCCTGCATTTCTCTTTGCAGATCAACGTCCTCCGAAACCGCGTTAGCGACCACCAGAAAGTGTAAGTTCCCTTCCCCGACCTCTCCTATCCCTCCATCTCCCCGCTCCCCTGGCCTCATTTCCCTTCCTGTGTGTATCCTGGCTCTCTTGCACCCTTGCAGAGCCATCTCTTGTCCTTCCCACTCCTGCCTCTGGTACTTCTGTTGATTGACCAACAGATCTGGGCCAGGGACCTCGGTCCATGTTGTTCTGCCCCCATTGCCAGACCCCTCCATTGCCTCCCACCTCCACCATCTTCCCCCTGCCCCATAGCCCCCGGCTGAGGTTGCACCTTGAGGAGACCTCTTGTGTCCTGCCAGGTCCCACCAGCCCCTGACCACTCCTGTCCCTGCAGTGGCTCTGACCAGCATCTCAGGAAAGGTGCTGGAGATCCTAGCTTGCGTAGGAGGGGAAATCCCACAGACTGTGTGACCCGTGCAGCCCTGCAAGGTCAGGGAAGCCCGGCCCATGTCCATGTTCCCTGAAAGGACTGGGGGACCCATTGTAGGAGGGTGGAGATGGCTGTTTAACCCTCACCCTTCAGAGTCCATGCTGCTCTCACGTCTCCGTCCCACCCTGCCATCTCCCACGAGAGGTGCTCAGCCTGCCCCTCATGTCAGGTAGCAACATGTCCTGCAAACTTATCTCAAATCTCTCTTCTTTTCTGCCCCAACCTGGCCTGTCGCTGCAGCAAAGGGTGAGTACAGGCATTTCCCAAGGTCTGTGTGTCTCCCCCTACATGTGTGCTGCATGGACGCCGGGGCTGACATCAGGCTAGCAGTAGTGCTGAGGGAGGAAGCAATGCCAGGGACTGGCAGCCAAAGCTGTGCTGGTGCCTCTAAGAAATGCCAGAAATGCCCTTTACTGTCCATCCGAGCCTCCTCTTCCTTCTCTCTGCTGACCCATGCCCGGCGAAGGGCCTGTTCCCCTGATGTTGGTGTGGTGGGCATTGGCTTCTGGTCCCTGGGAAAAGGATCCCGCAGCCATGGTTGTCACTCTGCAACAGAGATCCAACTCACTGACTCTTCTCTGAAGGTTCCCTGGGAGGGAAAAACATGGGAAGGGAATCAGGGCTCCTTAGAAACATGTGGCAAAATGCGTGAACTTGTTCCATAGAGTCCCAAAATACACGGACTGACTCAGGTCCCGAGGTTTTACCTGGGGCCACTGAAGACCTTCCCCACAGGGCAGTGAGCCTCAACTGGAGATGGTCCTGTCCTCTTTACAGAACCACTGATGACACCCACCTTGTCCCTCCTTTCATGGTCAATAATGCCTTTTCACACGTGCTTTTCTTGCTTCCCTTCCAGGTCAAAGACTGCCCGTGGGAAGACCATGGTGGGCGGCCGGTGGAAATAGATGACTCAGAAGGCAAAGGAGGCTCAGCCACAGAGAGGTTTATTGCTTTTTGGTCGACCAGCTGGCTTCCCCACATTGTGGAGCCGGCACCACGCTCTCCCACCGCACAGAGTTCGCAAAGACCTAGCTGCAGGCGCAGCGCTGTCGGGATGGGCAGGTGCCTTGTGAGGTGCCGTTCCTCATCTCCACATCCCCAGTTGATCTTGTGTCTGTAAATAAAGAGAACCATGAGGGGGTGCAGGTGTTGTCTCCGTCCTGAAGCTCTGAGGGCAGAGGAAACCCTCACAGGACAGTCTCAGCAGAGCTCGACCGAATTAGCGCAGTTGCACCCAGGGTGCAAGAGGATGCAGCAACCACCCAGGACCTCCTGAATAACATGTCCCCTTGCCTCAGAGCATCTTACACCTGAAGTCCTTGGGAGGTTTTGTAACAGGCCTCAGTGGCCTGACCTGCTTTTCCTGCTGGAGTTTGGGGCAATCCTATTTACGGCCACTTCAGTTCCTGTTTCTGATGAGCCAGAGCTCCCCTGGCTTCTCTCTGCATAAGGGTTGTCCTGGAGGACAGCCCAGGTAGAGGCACTGCTTCCAAGCCTCTTGGTCCATGGATTAGTCACACACTCTGCTTCCAGGCCATTTTCATTCCTATTTCCACCTCTTCCTATAGGGCCCAGACTATCTGCGTTCGCCTTCTCTGCCTGTTTCTGATAGCATGCAACGTAGACTTGAGATGAGTCACTGTGGGGAGAATATCTACCTGCCCTTTCGGGAGTGCAGATCTCTTTCATCTAGCTGTAGGCATCTCCGTAGCATGCTCTCACATGCTATGCCCACAGAGGCACACCACCCTCATAATCCCGAGTGGTACTGCAGTGTGTATCTGGACTGTCAGCCAGCAGAAGACACTAGATTGCATGACCATTTCCTGGGGCAAGTTGTTGTCAAACAGCATCCATGAGGCATTTCCCAGAGAAGGGATGGATGCACAGGATCTCCAAAGGCTTCTTGACCTTTGGCAAGACATTTTGTCCCCTGTCTTGCTGGAGCTGCCTGTTCTTCCCATCTCAGACCCAATGACATGGGAGCATCTTGCTGCCTTTTGGATGATGACTTATTTTGCCTATTATGCCATCAGGCTTTGGGGACCAAGGCTATAGGAAGCTTCAGTGAGGCACCAGATGGAGGACAACCAGCCCCTTACCAGCCACCTCCTCAAGAAAGAGGTGTGGAGGGATGAATGTCTTCCCTTACTGGGACAAAAGGGAAGAGCTGGGGAGGGTGGCAGTATTGGGACCTGTAATACTCAGAGTGTGGCCAAGTGATGGTCAGGCAAGTGACGTTTCCACCCTGCCTGATGCATGGCCCTGGGGAAGAGAAGCACTTGGGCCAGGAAGGTCTAGTTTGGAAAAAAAAAAAAATCCCCTTTTCTCAGACTCTGAAGGCTCACCCTCAAAACCTTTGTGGCAGTGCCGGTGCCTGGTGCCGCGGAGCAGCACTGCAGCTGCTCTGCCCATCCCTGGGGCCTGGCAGCGCCCAGGGTGGGGGTACAGAGGCAACTCCCTGCTTCCCACAGCGCTGCCTGTCTCGGCAGTGTGCTGGCCCCTCGCCAGCCCGGTTCCTTGTGCGCCGGGGCCAAAACCCACATGCTCCCTCCCTGCCTGGCACCTCCCTCCCTGTGCCTGGTGCTGGGTGGCACAGCCGTGCCAGAACAGCTGAGTCAGCACCCAGCCCTGCCACCGACCCTACCCTTCTCCCTCTCCCACTGGACATGGCAGGAATCTCTGGGACATGGCAGAGAACTCTTGGGTCTTCTCTGGGGTCTTCCATTGTGCTGGCATCATCCCAAGCTTTGCCTGGGCTGAGTGATGATTTGTGGTGGCGCAGCGTGTTGTGCCAAGGTTTGCTGGAGCGTGGTGCAGGGTGCTGGGTGCTGGTGAGTGGCTCTGTGTGCCCCCGTGCTGTCCCCATCCTGCCATGCTGAGCACGTGTTTTGCAAGTGGATGAGCCTGCTCTGCATTGCGAAGTGAGGGACCCCTGGCAGCAGCTTTTGGAGGGTTGTGCAGGGTGCTGACGTCCTCGTGGTGCCATGTCATTGTGGAGGTTTGCAGTGTACTAGTGTCCTGCAGCACTGCGCTGTGGTCTCAATGTCCCCATGGGCAGCAGGACCTCTGGATGCCAGACCAAAGCACCAGCATCTTGTGGAGTCTGGTATGAGGGGTAGAGAGCTCTGCCCTCCCCTAGCAAAGCATCTTCCCAGGAGCTGTGAGGTGTAGCATCCTCCAGCATGATGCAGAGGAGCAGCACCTTCTGCCATAGCATGCAGACATCCTCCGTGCTGCTGTCCTTTGAGGAGCAGTCCCCTGTGAGGCACCACTCCAGCACATGAAAGTAGAGTCCACTCATGAGCAGTTCTGGTACCTCAGCCAAAGCTCCAGGCAGGTATCAGGTTGTGTCCCACGCAGTGTGTGCAGCGCAGGATGCAAGATCCTTTCTGGGTCCTCTGTGGAGGTGGTGGCAGGTGCTGCAGTGAGGAATGTGTGCTGAGGTGGGTGATGTCCTACAGCACAGTGTGACACAGGAGGTCTCTGCCCTCCCCAGAGCGATGGCGATGTCCTGGCCAGAGTTCAAAAATCCAGAGGCTGCTGCCAGATCATCATCCTCTGGTGTTCAGCATGGACATCCCAGCATGACTGCATGAGCCTGGGCAGCAGCAGACACATGCTTTGGTCTCACAAGCATCTGCACCTCATGGTCTGTCAAGGCAGACCTATGCCAGGGTCCTCCCCAGGGTACCACCATTGCAGAATGAACGCAAAAGGGGATGCATTTGTAACCCAGAAGCTGCTGGTAAAATATTGAGCTGATGTTTTGGCCTGTGGTTGTGCTAAATCAGAGTTGTGTGTAAGGCAGCCCCATGCTCTTCTCTGCTTACTCAAGACTCAAGATCCAGGACGACCTCTGGAGCCAAAGATAGGGTGAAATACAGGTATTTTAGAGCCTGGTTTTGCCACTACGACTATGGACAGAAGCAGCCTGCTCACGTCTTAGATCAGGTTATGTTACCCAGGCATGCTCTGGACAGGACAGCAGGTTCTGGAATTGCTGTCCTGGGGCCATCTGGTATGTCCCAAGGAGGCAGAGTCGTGTGTGTGCCCATTCAACCAGCATTATGGGCCATGATCTAGTTGCAGTCATCCCCAGGGACCTGGGGGACAGTGGAGTGGTAGCTCTTGAAGTGTTGCTGAGGCCAGCGTGTCTCACCAGATGGGCACGTGGAGCCTCTTGCTGGTGCCCTCAGCTGGGACACACAGTGGAGGAAACCCTCACCCTTACCTTGGAGATGTTGGAGCCTTGCTTCCCCCATTGGACACAACTCTAATTTTGAGATGGCTCCCTGGGTGCGAGCAAGAGCAGGATGTGGAGACAGGCAGGGCCAGGGAGGGGGTGTCAGAGTCTGTGTCAGGAGGACAGAACCTGCCCAAGACCATCACAGTGGATGTGGGCTGCTCTGCACCTCCTGCTTAAGCCCTCAGGGCAGGATGGGGGAGCTGGGAAAAGGGTCCCAGCTCCATCTGTGCAACCTCTGATTTTTTGCAGGTGAGGTCTAACAGCAGGCACTATTTTCAGAGAGAGAAAAAGGATGTAAATGTTGAAATTTGAAACACCTAGACCTGCAGCTCTCATCTTGAGAGTCCCAAAGCGTGGTGATGCTGTGCTATGGTCCTCCTCAGCACACTCCTCTGCAGGGCAGGTCCATTTGTTCATGCAAGAATCTGACGCTTGCAAGTTTTTTTGTGATTATTTTTAAATGCCTCATAAAACTTCAAGTCCCATTTAATAACCTAGTCCTGCAAATCACTGCCTATAGCAGCTAATTCATAGGTATCAATTAATCGCCTTTAATTGGTTAAAGTCACCCACGGTTTATGCTGATTCCACAGATGTGTTAAATCATCAGTGACGTCTCTGATGCACCGCAAGCACCATTTAGCATCGACACAATGACCCATGTCCGTGAGACAAGTCTCGCTGACAAAGCAGGCAACAATACTCTGGGATGGAAAGGAAGAGGCTTTAGCTGTTGTCTGGAAGCAGCATTTTATTGGCAGTTAGTGGAAGGAAAATAATCTTCGTGGTGATGGCTGAATCACTGCTTTTGCATGTGCTTTCATGCCCAGGTTTCAGCTGAAGTCCTGGGTGTAAATTACCCTCTTTGGTGCAGAGCAGCAACTACTGGCAGGAGCCCTGAGAAGATGGGACCTGGTGGGAGCTGGGATCAGCCCTTTGACCAACCGTGGACCCGTAAGGTTCATGACTGATTAAGGTGGTTCTCCACCGTATACCCTGACCTGGAGTGGTGCTGAGCACCAAAGCTGCTGTGATGGCTTGCAGGAGCAGCAATCCCCGCAGAGGTGGCTCTGGCAGTCATGGGCAGTGCCCAGCTCAGGGGATGGCACAGATCTCAGGGAGGTTTGGAGCTCTGGAGGGAATTGGTCCTGCTCCTCAGCTGCACAGATCCCGACCCATCTCCCCTCCCAGCTGCACGTGGAGACCAAAATCCCCCACGCTTCTCTGGTGTGTGAAGCAGTGAGCTGTGAGATAAAAGCTGAAGCCTTTAGATGGAACCATCTCTGGGTCATCCCACAGGAGACGGGTCTCAGAACCCCACGACTGCAGCTGTGAGGCCAAGTATCTTCAGAATACTCCTGCCCCCACGCCTCTCTGCTCCCTGCAGAGGAAGGGCATGTGCTCCCTTGTGTACAAACGCACACACACACACACACACACAGAGTCCTGGACACATGTGCACATGTATGCACACATGCATGAATGCATGTATGCACATGTATGCACACTCAGACATGCTCATGGGCACTTGTGCACTCCTGTCCCATCTCCCTGCACCCCTGATCTTGCAGCAGAGCTCCAAAGGACGGTGAGGCAGCATCGGTGGACGTGGGGGAACTGCACCCACAGCCCCCCTGAGGCAGACCCAGCTCTCGG